AACAATGAATATTCCTTTAGTCAGCACGAAAATAAAACCTTTGTTTTTTTTTTTTTTTTCTTTTTTGGGGTGGAACTGGGGATTGAACTCAGGCCCTTGTGCTTGCCAGGCAAGCGCTTATTCTACTGAGCCATCTCCCCGGCCCAAAAACCTCTTTAAAAAAAAAAAAATTAAAGTCATTCTTTCATTTGGCACAGGGTCTTGCTACAAAGCTCAGCCTCCCTAGTGCTGGGATTGCAGGTGTGAGCCACCATACCCAGCTTCGGTGGCTAGCAACAGCACAGGGCTGGCACTGCATGTGGTACCAGGGATCGAACTTGGGTCGCTGCATTTGCCAGGCAAGTGCTTAGATCACTGAGCTATCTCCCCAGCCCTAACATAAAACCTTTAATCGTAGATGAATTTTCCTTTTAAATTATTTTTTGATACTGAAGACTTAACACAATTAACTATTATGAATACACAGAATAATAAGCCCTTTCCCATAGTACCTAAAAAAATCTCAAATGTTACTTTACTAACCGATTTGAGTTGGCTGTTTTCATCCTTCAATTTTACAACATGCTTGATTTTTTGCTTTAGATTCTGATGACCCAGTAATTCTGCATACGAATCTCTTATTTTATTTAGCTGTTCCTGAGTTGCACCATGTTCATTCAACAAGGACAGTTTCTCTGCTTCAAAGGCATCCAGTTGTTGCTGGAAAAGATGTTTGTTTTTATGAGGTTAAAAAAAAAAACTATCAAATCTTACTACTTTCTTAGAAAGCATTAAAAAAAAATCCTAAAGAAAAATTTAAAACCAAACAAAATCAGAGTATTTCCTTATTTTCAAGGCCCTCCACAGATTCTCTCAGTAATACTAAAACCTATTATAACAAGATGCATGCCATCTTTTAAGAAATCAATTCTCGGGGCTGGGGAGATAGCTCAGTAGAATAAGCACTTCCCTGGCAAGCCAATGGGCCTGAGTTCAATCCCTGGTTCCGCCAAAAAAAAAAAAAAAAAAGAAATGAATTCTCAAAAGTTCCTGTTAGAGTCATCTGAAATGTCAGCTTTTAGCTCTTTATTACAAGGCTTTTTTGATCTACAAAGGCTGTAATAAAAATTTATGCATATTGTATTTGCTCACCATATCTCAGTAGAGCCAAAACATTTTTTTTTTTTGCGGAACCGGGGATTGAACTCGGGCCCTTGCGCTTGGCAGGGAAGCGCTTATTCCACTGAGCTATCTCCTTGGCTCCAAAACATTTTTTAAAAATTTATTTTTTTGGGGGAACTGGGGATTAAACTCAGACCTTTTGCGCTTATTCTACTGAGCTATCTC